CACCTAGCTTTCGTTATGAGGAGGAGTATGCTAAGAAGGTGTGTTGACTGCGTAAATCTCTTTATGGACTGAAACAGTCACCACGACCCTGGTTCTCTCAATTTAGTGGTGTGATTATACATTTCGGCTCACCAAATGTCTTTCTAATCCTACAAGCTTCATTCAATAGACTATTATTGGGCAATGTGTCATTCTCTTGGTATATGTGAATGATATTATTATTAGTGGGGATTGCACAAATCAAGGTTGATATTGGGAAGGCATTTAATGTGAAAGACTTTAAATTTTTGAGGTACTTTCTTAGAATTGAGGTTGCCCCTAGTAATAAGGGTATTGTTCTGTGAGATCCCATATTTCATATTTCATATAAATAATATTAACTTGATAGTATCTTTAAAATGATGAGAGAAACTTCGAATCGTTGTTAAAGGAATAGTCGCATAAGTTTGAGTTATAAGGTATTGACTTTTGAGTCAAATTTAATTTTTGAGTTGTTTGAGGTTGATAAGAGTACCTAAAGAAATATATTAATTTTTTTAGATCAAAATAATATTACCATTGAATCTAGGAGGTTCGAAAACCTTGGAATAAACGTTTAGTTCATATAGCGGTTCGAAGGAGTAAAATGGTAACTTTAGTGTTTCGGGTGAAAATTGACTTTGATTTTGAGATAAATCATAAAAATAAATATTTTTAGTTTAAAATAACATTAAAAATGAACTCAGAACATCGAAAGACCTTAGGCTAGTCATAGGGATCAAATTGGAGATGTTTAGTGGCAAAACCGTAATTTCGGAGAAAAATACATTTTTTTGGCCCATGAAAAGTAAATTTTGGGACTACTGGGTTTAAATCCCAAATTTCAGCAACTTTTCTTCCATTCTTTCATTCCACTCTCACCCAATACCTCTTAGAACTTTAAGAGAAGATAAAGAAAAGAGAAAAGAGAAAAGAAAAGGTCTCTAAAGCTTGAGTTTTGCTTGTAATTCTTGATTTCAAGGTGAAATATTCCTCTCTCTTTCATTTACATTGTGCATCTCATGTATTTTCTTTAGCTAAATCTTACTATGTATTTGATGGCAAAATACTTGTTTATAAACCTTGATTTAGTGTTGAGTATGCCATAAATTGTGAACTCATATGCATAAAAATAATTTTAGTGTTATGGGTTTGAAACCCTAGTCTGATTTTAGTTATAGGTATTTGATAAAACCTATGATTTAGGATTTTGAAGTATGCTATGATCTTGTACATAATATATATGACTTATTCCCTTGGAATTGGAATTAATTTTAGTGTTGTGGGTTGGAAACTCTAGTTTGATGTTAGTTGTGAGTATTTGATTAAACCTATGATTTGTGGGTTTTGAAGTATGTTATGATGTTGTACATAATATGATCTATTCTTTTAGAAATGGAAATAATTTTAGTGTTGTGGATTTGGAACTCTAGTTGATTTTAGCTATGAGTATTTGATTAAACCTATAATTTGGGTGTTTTGAAGTATGCTATGATTTTGTACAAAATATATATTGCTTATTCTCTTGGAAATAGTTATGTTGCTTTGAAAATATAACTTTTGAGATTTGAGCCTACTACATATTTGATAAATGTCAAGGCTATGACATGTATTTTCAAAAGGATTTATGGATATGAAAAATAATAATTTTGAGAAAATGTATGCTCGATATGGACAGACAGAGAGTTAGTAGACAGTTGTGGCTTATTGAGTAGGTTGTCAAGGCGTCTACTAGTCCTAAGGGGGATTGATTATGGTAGTGGTTTTCGGTGATGACCTATGTGGTGTCACAAGTTGTGCCCTACACATTTTCCTTAAAAATTCAGAAGGGCAATGAGACCCTAGGGTGCAAGACCCAAAAAGTTTCTCGGGGATGGTACATGGGTGAACCGATGTGATTGATTATATTGTCTGTATGCGAGACATGTGTGATATTTGCTATGATGGTCTGACTTAAAATGTATAAACCTTTAATTTATACATTGTATATTCTAATGATGATGTGTCGGGAATTTTTATAAATGCTCTACTTATTATCTTGTTCATATACTAAATTATAGAAAGTTTTCATTACTTATTCGTATAGTTTGTGAAATGTTGATATTTAAAACTTTGTAAATGCTTGAGAAAAGGATTATCCTATTGAGCGTGTGGTTGCTCACCCCTATCATTTAACATTTACAGTTATGGGCATATGTTGGTGGACTGCATAGTGGGAGTATCGAGACAGAAGATAGTTGTTATGATCTTTATATATTTAGTTAGAGTATGTAAAGAACAATGTCCAATGATGTATATTATTGAGGATTTGTAAGTGATTAATATCTTGGTTAATTTAAGGGAATATGTATAGATTGAGACATTTTAAATGATTTACTTAAAAAGATTCTAGATATTCTGTATATTATGTTCATGATGAAGAATTTTGGATAATTAGATTATAACCTGGGTTTGAGAGGACTTCGTCAGCCTCCATTTGCCACCCTCAGTATTGGACGATAATGACTTATTTGTGGATATCATGAGAAGAGATGTATATAATTGATATGATGTGAATGAATAGTTAGATATAATTATTATGTTTAATGCTCTCACATGTAGCTCTCGCTAATTATTTGGATACCTAATTTTCATAGAAAACTCTGCCGAAATTTTTTTAAAAAAATGATTTATTTAAACTAAAGAGATACTTTTCTAGATGTTTTTACAACAAATTGACATGTGTTTTTGGAATAAACAAATTAATTTTTTTTAATCACGCTTTTATGAAATTTGGGGCGTGACATGTTTTCTTTCAGAAGAAGTACGTTTTGGATTTTCTCTCGAACACTGGAATGTTGGAGTGCAAATCGGCATCATCACCTATGATTCCAAACCTGAACCATACTATTGAAGGCGAGGAGTTGAGAGATCCAATTTTTTATCAGAGGTTGGTAGGTAGGCTTATGTACCTAGCCAACACTAGGGTAGACATTTCATTTGCCGTATGTCGGGTTAGTCAATTCATGCAAAAGCCATTTCAGTCTCATTTGGATGTTGTATATTATATTCTTTGGTACCTCATGTCTTATCTTGGACTTGAGTTGTTACTTGCATCGGGGTTTCAAACTAATTCTCTAACCTGTTATTCAAATTTAGATTATGGGGGAGCTCGAGGGACTCATCTTATCTGTTAGTAAAGGTAGAGTATCGGAACTGGCGCTTGACACATTGACACATATGAGATTATCTGGCTACGATATATTATTGTCAAGTTAGGATTTCCAATAAATTTTTCATCTATATTATATTGTGATAATCGATTTGCTATTCAGTTTGTTTCTGACTCTGTATTACATGAGAGAATGAGGCATATAGAAATCGATGTTCACTTTCTTCGGGAGAAAGGTCGATTGTGGTATTGTTATCCCATCGTTTTGTGAGGACTAGTGATCAAGTTGTGGATGTTTTCACAAAACTTGTCACTCTATCCATTCTCTGAGACTCAATTGTCAAGCTTAACTTAATTGACATCTTTGTGCCTAGCTTAAGGGGGAGGGTTGGAGTTATAGCTTAGTTATTAGTATTTTTTTTAAAATTTTTTTTTTTTACCTATTTTGCTCTTACTATAGTTTTATGTCTTAGTAGACCAGATGGGAGTTTTGGTCAGTTGCACTCTTATTTGGCTATATGTACAGGACTCTGCATTCAGTTTTTACATCCTTTTTACTCCCAATAATTCTAGTAAGACCATAGTTATTAATATCGTACAATAAGCGATACGTATCATACGATACGCTAAGATACACCTGAAAAACTATACGTATCGTGCATTTATATCGTTTTTGCACCGTATTGTACGATACGCCCCGATACGTACGATACGTGACGATTCTATTTTTTTATTTTTTTAAAAATTTTTTGGGGTTGAAATAACATCGTTTTACCCTATGACTTATTTTTAAATCACTAGCTAGTAAAACAACGTCGTTTTAGTGGTTATAGTTTAAAAAATAAATAAATAAAATATGTTGTTAATGTTATTCAATTGAATTCAAAATTCTTAATTAATATTAAGGTTGTTCAAGTGGTTGATGTTAGAAGTTTGAATTAAAGGTGTTTGCATTTTGATATNTATTCAATTGAATTCAAAATTCTTAATTAATATTAAGGTTGTTCAAGTGGTTGATGTTAGAAGTTTGAATTAAAGGTGTTTGCATTTTGATATTACTAAACAATGTTAGTTAAACAGTTTGTGGAATATTAATGAAATGTTATCTTATTATGAGTCTATGATTTTTTTACAAAGGTATATACATATATTTTATTAATAATTATTAATAAATNTATTAATGAAATGTTATCTTATTATGAGTCTATGATTTTTTTACAAAGGTATATACATATATTTTATTAATAATTATTAATAAATTAAAATTGTGCGTATCTTACAATACACGATACACTATTTTTAAAAAATGATATGTCTTCCGATACACGGTTTAACAACTATGAGTAATACTAAACTAAAATTTGTTAACATGGTGAAAAATTCATACATGGCGTGTAGAATTGCTAGAGGTATCCTAACCTTTGAATCACCCTTTTCATTTCACAAAGTCAAAGTTAAGTTAGGTGTTGTTCCATCCTTTTTATCATTTTCTCTCCACTTTTGCCAACTTTCTGCGTTCAATAATTTAGAGAATCTGCGTGGACTTGGTCTCTAATGGACAATCACCCAGAGAAAACTCTCATTGCGACAATTGTCACCATTTGGGACTTTCCCTCTTGTTTTCTTCTCCTTGTACTCTTTGTCCAAACCCACCTCCCCAACCTTATAAATACCCTTCTGGTCCTACAATTCCACTCTACCCTCATTTCTCTTTCACACACTGCAAACTCTCTGNACCTTATAAATACCCTTCTGGTCCTACAATTCCACTCTACCCTCATTTCTCTTTCACACACTGCAAACTCTCTGAATCATCGATCACCACAGAAAAATGGTAGAATCAAGCCCACCTCTCCTCCACAACTATGCAGAACTTCTCCGACAATCAGGTGTAAGTTTTGCAGTTCAGGGCAATGATCATCAAAATGAAGTCATGGAGGAGTGTGAATTGCCATTAATAGACCTCAGTAATCTGAGAAGTGATTATGAAGAGGAGAGAATGGCTTGTGCACAAGCTATATGTAGAGCTTCATCAGAATGGGGTTTCTTTCAAGTAGTGAACCATGGAATAAGCCTTGAAATCCTCAGGAAGATGAGGAGAGAGCAAGTGAAATTGTTTAAAGGACCCTTTGAGAAGAAGGCAAATTGTGGGCTCTTGAACAATTCATACAGATGGGGAAATCCAGCAGCTACTTGTCCAAAGCAGTTCTCATGGTCTGAGGCTTTCCATATTCCCCTAACAAAGATGTCAGAGGAAGCTTGTTTTGGAGAATTCAATTCTTTAAGGTACTATTCTTTTTCTTCGAGTGGATGTTAGTCATGTCAATTATTTTCTGGTCTTCTCACACTCACCTCTTCCTCGTCTTTCTTTCTTTCTTGCTTTTATTTTTCTTTTTTAATTGACCAAACACCTTTTCTTCTTCTTTTCGTTATTAACTTTGTACAAATCGAGTCCTTTTGTCTGTGCCAAATGAAAAATAAGAATTCAACTCACCTAACCAAACTTGAGTTGGCTGCATGAATTTTGTTCCGACGATTTATTTGAAATCACGTGTTCCTCCTTTACAATACAGGCAATCATATTAGTATCTTTACTAAATATTAACTTATGTCTACCTCTACCCCTAATGTTGTCGTTAATAAGTATCACATTACTCTTTTTCGCACTTCTAATTGCGAGCCTCTACGAATATATTCAAACCAAATTAGTCAAGTGTCGTGTTTCGATTTACTAGACATTAATCTTAAATTTCACATTACATCTACGTTTAGTTTCTAAACGTATTCTCCATTAGTTCAGCATTCTCTATCATAAATCATGATTTGTTTTAGAAATTGAAAAAGATATAAGTTGATGATGTACTAAATTAGGTGTACTTCTCCACTTAGTCCATCATTTTTTAATCTAAGATCCACAACTTGTTCGATTTCAACCTCCTTATGAATAATTTACCTCAAGTAACTAGTTATTTTTTGGTCTTTCTTAAAATTTTCACTTTTACCTTTATCGAAGTTGAATGAGTTGTGTAAAACAGTGGCTAACGCTGTTTCAAATGCTGACCATAGGGAAGTGATGGTGGAATATGCCGCTGCAATGCAAGAACTGGCAAGATTACTTGCTGGGGTTCTGGTAATGAACTTGGGACACCAAAAGGGATTCTTCGAAGAAATTTGCGATGAAAGCACTTGTTTTCTTCGGTTGAATCGCTATCCATCCTGTCCATTGTCTCCCGAGATTTTCGGTTTAGTGCCCCACACTGACAGTGATTTTCTCACTATCCTTCACCAAGATCAAGTTGGTGGGCTTCAACTCATGAAAGACTCCGAATGGGTAGCTGTCAAACCCAACCAAGACGCTCTAATTGTCAACATTGGAGATCTTTTCCAGGTAATTTCTTATGCTACGATATACTGTTAATCAAACGGGTCGTTGTCAGCGGATTGAATGAGGAATGAAATATAAACTAACACGTCCAAAGTTTTCGCCCTTCTATTACATAAAATTCAGGTGCAAGTGATGCAAGTAGTTTAATAGTGATTTATTTGTCTAGATATGTCCCAAGTCAAACTAGCATTGCCTTTGCTTTTGCCCTTCTAAACATATACCAGGGAAAATTAGCTTGTCATTCATTATTACACAAGTTAAATTACACTTTGCACCTCTAAATTGCGACCACAATCTCATTTACCTACTAACTATCCTCTAGTCTTTCAACTATATTCTTTTCGGGTAAAATTAAATCCACATAAGGTATTGAACTTTATCTCACTTTATAACCTCTATTATTCATATATCCACATTCCTCGTACAACTACGTATTGGGGTTCTACATTATCTTAATGATCCGTTTGGTAGGAAGGATGAAAAGTATGAGGAATACATTTTCTATCATTCAAGAAAGAAAAATATAAATGTATGATACATTTTCTTTCCATTGTATTTCATAAGATGGATGAAAAACAAAAATGATTAATTTTTTTTTTTTGCCGAGTAAGATTAGGGGTAACAATTGAGTCGTGTTGTATTGCGGGATTGTGCAAACATTAGTCAAATCTAACTCAACTCATTTAATTAATTATGTCGTGTCGAGTTGACCTACTTATTTTCGTATCGTGTTCATATTCGTGTTAACCCACAAAAACTTTGAATAAAAAATTTAATGCTAATATTATATTTTCACTTAATTGAATTTATGTTCATATTTTTTCTACAAACTGAAAATTAACTTAAATAAATATAATAATAATAATAAGTAAAAATATCTTTTTTATATAGTAATTATGTCATTGTTTAATAAATAGTTACAAATAATTAACATTTTATGTCTATAANATATATTTTTTATATAATAATTATGTCATTGTTTAATAAATAGTTACAAATAATTAACATTTTATGTCTATAATACTAGTTAAATATGTTAGTTTCATGTTAATTTCGTGTTATCATATAAACGAGAAAATAGATAAAGTGTTTATTTTTAAATAAATTGGTTGAAGATGTTAATTTTGAGTTTTACGGGTTGAACTGAATATGAGTCGTTTATATTTTTTGTTCGTATGTCAAGTTATTTTCAAGTTCGTGTCGAGTTATAATCAAATTTGTGTCATAAAATTCGTGTCAAGTTCGATTCGTGTCATCGTATTGAGTCAAAAATTTTCACCCCTAACTAAGATAGAATAAATATTTCTTTTAATTTTAATTTTAATTTTTTAATTTTTAATTTTAATTTTTTAATTTTAAATTTTTTTAAAAATATATATATACATATTTTATCATTGTATTTTTCTATGAAATTAATATGTTCATATATATATATATATATATATATATATATATATATATATATATATCTCAACACAAATAATTAACTTTCTATCCACTTTTCTTCCTATTTTGGAATGATTGATTTTGGTAAGTTGGAAAGAAAGTTAATCCATCAACTTTTTCATCCTTCCTATTTTTTTTCCTTACTAAATATGATATTTTATTTATCTCTTCAATTTTCTATTCTTCCAACTTTCAATCTTTTCATTTTTTCATCATACCAAACAGAATATAAAACTCAGTGACTATTTGATTATAAACAAGAAATGAAAAACGTGCGGGTCACACTATCCCTTAAATATGCTAATTGTTTTCACATTATCCAAAACTCATTAAGATCATAATTTATGTAGTTATATTCGTTTAACCTATTCTAAGATAATTTGGTAANTGTTTTATTTATTTCTTCAATTTTCTATTCTTCCAACTTTCAATCCTTTCATTTTTTCATCATACCAAACAGAATATAAAACTCAGTGACTATTTGATTATAAACAAGAAATGAAAAACGTGCGGGTCACACTATCCCTTAAATATGCTAATNTATTTTATTTATCTCTTCAATTTTCTATTCTTCCAACTTTCAATCTTTTCATTTTTTCATCATACCAAACAGAATATAAAACTCAGTGACTATTTGATTATAAACAAGAAATGAAAAACGTGCGGGTCACACTATCCCTTAAATATGCTAATTGTTTTCACATTATCCAAAACTCATTAAGATCATAATTTATGTAGTTATATTCGTTTAACCTATTCTAAGATAATTTGGTAACTATTTCTTTTTCTTTCAACAATGTTTTGAAAATCGACAGGCATGGAGCAATGATGTATACAAGAGTGTGGAGCACAAGGTTATGCCTAATTGGAAGGTGGAGAGATACTCAATAGCCTACTTCCTCTGCCCTTCTTATGACTCTTTGATTGGAAGTTGCAAAGAGCCTTCTATTTATAGGAAATTTACATTCGGAGAATACAGACGCCAAATCCAAGAAGACGTGAGAATGAGAGGCCACAAAGTAGGTCTGCCAAGATTTCTACTTAATGTGCAACACTGACCTGGAACATTTTCTCTCCTTAACATCCAAACAACACCAAGTTTTTGACGCATTTTGATCAAGTTTTGAGATCATAGGCTTGTTGTGTGACAAAGGTTTCTACCTGCTTTAAAGTAAAATCCCCACTTCCATTCATTCTATTGATTAGTTCCATACAAAACCCCCTAGTTTCATCACTTCTATGAATTTATTATGGATTGATTCCCTCATATTTTTGTGTTTCCCAAAGTCAAACTTATCATGGAAAAAACGTGGAGCTATAGTAAGAGTGACATGCATGTATGAAGGAATTTGAATCACCAATTCTAATAGTAAGAAATTTGGTTCCAACACATTGCTCCGTTGTTAATTCCGAAAATATGCATTGACTTGCCCTTACAGATACTTGAGTAGGAATATGTAGTTCACTTTCAGAATTATAGGTGTAAATAAGTTAATTTGAGCCAAGAGGTGCACTGCAACAAATCGTTTTGAAAATTTTATTGAGTTCTAAATTGAACGTGTTTAGCTTTCTAATCTCACACAATGCGGTATCAAGGAATCTAGTAAATGCGTTAAATCACAAGTTGAGGTTGAGTAGTTCAGTTAGTGTTGACAGAAATGAAGAATTGTAGAGAATGGAAGAAGAGAAAAAGAAGAAGAGAATGAGAGAGAGAGAGAGGGGGGGGGGGGGGAAGATAGAGAGATTAGACGATTATTTCATTGATTTGAACTGTGTTTTCTACATTGCATATGGTGTGAACCATCAATGTATATATATTGATGGGACACTTCAGAGAAAAGGTAGGATTCAACCACATGTCTTCAGCACCGAGTGTACGCCCCTGCGATGAAGGCCACGTGCCCTTGGCACCAAGGACACTTCTTCTCCAATATAAAGTCACGTGTCCTCAGCACTGAGGGCACGACCTCTCTGATAACGCCAGGTGTCCTCGGCACTGAGGAGACCCCTTGCTCCCCGATGGATCCACGCGTTCTATACAGTACTGGACTAGAGACCAGTTGTGGACACGTCATCTCTTCTTCTGGAAGGGCCACTAACAGCTATAGCCCATCAGTCTCAGAACTGGTCAACGAAATCATTGGCTTGCCTTCCCAATGAGGTCAGAATAACAGAATGAACAAAACACTCCACCAAGGGAAGTCAGACATGTGGCATGACGTACAAGCTGAGAGGTGAATGGACAAAAATACCCCTGCTGACATACGGCTATCTCAGACAATTATTTAATGAACCCTCAATTGATGGGACATCCACAATGGCTCTGGGTGCCTAGAAGAAAGAGCATTAAATGCTCCAAGACTTGAGCATTAAGTGTCTCTACGTTCAAGAAAGAGCATTAAGTGCTCGGGGGGCCAAGCATTTAATAATGGGGCTTCCCCCATGCAAAATATGGGGCACACTAGCCCATGTCTGAATTCTACCTACTGTCGAGACGATCAGTAATTATGGGTCTTTGAAGGTATAAATAATTCCTGAAAACATAGTGCAAAGGTATGCAAAATCATCCCTCAAAAACCATATATTATTTTCTTATTCCCCTCTCTCAAAAAATTGACTTGAACATCGGAGAGGATACACCAAAAAATACTCCAGCACCCTTTTAACCTATTTTTTGTGTGTCAAGAATTGCCTCCGACCTGTCGAAAGTGATCGGACAGCCCCTGAAGCAATTCATCATCACTCATTAGGCCCCCTTGAGCCCTTTTAACACATTCCTTGTTACGGGATCAGCCATTTTCTCGACGAACACGAATTTACCAAGGAAAAGATCTAACGAAGNTCCAAGACTCGAGCATTAAGTGTCTCTACGTTCAAAAAAGAGCATTAAGTGCTCGAGGGGCCAAGCATTTAATAATAGGGCTTCCCCCATGCAAAATATGGGGCACACTACCCCATGTCTGAATTCTACCTGCTGTCGAGATGATCAGTAATTATGGGTCTTTGAAGGTATAAATAATTCCTGAAAACATAGTGCAAAGGTATGCAAAATCATCCCTCAAGAACCATATATTATTTTCTTATTCCCCTCTCTCAAAAAATTGACTTGAACATCGAAGAGGATACACCAAAAAATACTCCAGCACCCTTTTAACCTATTTTTTGTGTGTCAAGAATTGCCTCTGACCTGTCGAAAGTGATCGGACAGCCCCTGAAGCAATTCATCATCACTCATTAGGCCCCCTTGAGCCCTTTTAACCCATTCCTTGTTATGGGATCAGCCATTTTCTCGACGAACACGAATTTACCAAGGAAAAGATCTAACGAAGGACCACATTGAAAGTGTCAACAAAGGACTTTCCATTCGTTCTAGGGANACAAAACACTCCACCAAGGGAAGTCAGACATGTGGCATGACGTACAAGCTGAGAGGTGAATGGACAAAAATACCCCTGCTGACATACGGCTATCTCAGACAAGTATTTAATGAACCCTCAATTGATGGGACATCCACAATGGCTCTGGGAGCCTAGAAGAAAGAGCATTAAATGCTCCAAGACTCGAGCATTAAGTGTCTCTACGTTCAAAAAAGAGCATTAAGTGCTCGAGGGGCCAAGCATTTAATAATAGGGCTTCCCCCATGCAAAATATGGGGCACACTACCCCATGTCTGAATTCTACCTGCTGTCGAGACGATCAGTAATTATGGGTCTTTGAAGGTATAAATAATTCCTGAAAACATAGTGCAAAGGTATGCAAAATCATCCCTCAAAAACCATATATTATTTTCTTATTCCCCTCTCTCAAAAAATTGACTTGAACATCGGAGAGGATACACCAAAAAATACTCCAGCACCCTTTTAACCTATTTTTTGTGTGTCAAGAATTGCCTCCGACCTGTCGAAAGTGATCGGACAGCCCCTGAAGCAATTCATCATCACTCATTAGGCCCCCTTGAGCCCTTTTAACACATTCCTTGTTACGGGATCAGCCATTTTCTCGACGAACACGAATTTACCAAGGAAAAGATCTAACGAAGGACCACATTGAAAGTGTCAACAAAGGACTTTCCATTTGTTCTAGGGAAGGCGATGGGGGCTTGGAAGGTGACCAGTGACCATAAAAATGAAAGAAAGGGAGAAAGGAAAAATGAAGGGAGCTGTTTTGTGCCCTTAAGAACCAAGGACATGGAGTTTAGAAGGCGATGAATTGCCAAAAAAACAAAAAGGAAAAGGAAAGAGTAAAAACAAAACACTCACCAGAGAGAGGGAACGAACAATGGAGCCTGAGAAACGCTCTTCCCCTTCAAATGACAAACAAAAATGGAGGATTCTTCGAGGAAAGGTGGCAGCAAATTCCTGTGAGCTATCCGACTAAAGGTTCTTCGAAAATTGGGGATTCTGGTGAGTTTTTCGGCAAGAGAGTCTTTGGGGCAGTCAAAGGGTCATAAAACTGAAAAAGGTGGGAGGGGGCTCTGTTTATATAGGCTTTGTCCCCATTATTGTGCACGAGACACAACGACATACGCATTCAATGCGCATGATCCCTAAATGCGGGAAAATAGCTGGGGCAATGATGAGACGGTTGAGCCCTTTGACCTCCTAATGACACGTGTCCTCACCGTACGAAGATCAAAGGGTCGGGGATAGTTGATGGGACACTTCTGAGAAAAGGTAGGATTCAACCACATGTCCTCGACATCGAGGGTACGCCCCTGCGATGAAGGCCACATGCCCTCGGCACTTCTTCTCTAATATAAAGCCACGTGTCCTCGGCACCGAGGGCATGACCTCTCTGATAAGGCCAGGTGTCCTCGACATTGAGGACACCCCTTGCTCCCCGATGGATCCACGCATTCTACACAGTACTAGACTAGAGACCAGTTGTGGACATGTCATCTCTTCTTCTAGAAGNTTTACCAAGGAAAAGATCTAACGAAGGACCACATTGAAAGTGTCAACAAAGGACTTTCCATTCGTTCTAGGGAGCAAACTCGTCAAATTAGTATGGGTATCAGGTCTGAAAGATCTGCCCCTGCTGGCCCGTCAACTGGCTGAAGTGATTGAGAAAAAAATAGGAGATCGGTTACGACAGTTGGAAGAGGACAACGTCAACGTCCTAAATCGACTCGATGAATTTGCATCCTCCAGCGGAGGGTTTCGAGACTTATCGCAGTCCCAGGAACCTTCCGTTAGGAAGGTGGGACCTAAGGACCTGAGGAACTGCTTGAGTAGCAGAGCAGAGAGTTCCAAGGCTCCAAAGTGCACGAGGGCCAAGGGGCAGCACCCAGAAGTTCCAGCCAAGAGGGCTAGACTATTGGCTTGGAACGAACTCTGTCGGGGACTATCTGGGCAAGGGGTTATGGAGGAGTCTGAGGAGGGGTCAGCCCTCTCCGTCCGAGACCCTAGGACAAGGGACCACATCAGGCGGCGTCGAGGAGGTGGAGAGATGCACCCCAAACAGAGAGAGGACCTCCGAGAACACCTGGATTCCATAAGAAAGAATAAAGTCATACAGGAGGACGACACGAATGAAGAGGCAATCTAGTCACCCTTCATGAGGAGTATTGTGGAGATGGAAAGTTTTTGACGGACGATCTGACCCGGAAGCCCACCTTAGACAATACAAGCAAATGATATCCCCGTACCACTCGGACCATCAACTACTATGCCGAGTATTCTCAATGAGCTTGGGAGAATCTGCCATGAAATGGTTTAAAACCCTTCCACCCAACAACATATGGTCTTGGAAGGAGCTAACTAGGCAGTTCTTCGCCTGGTTCATCACAAGGAGTAGGCGACCCAAAGACGTCGGATCACTATTGACCCTAAGGCAGAAGGAGGGACAAACCCTCTGCCAGTACGCCACTCACTACTAGGAAGAGGTAAACGAGGTGGAGGGATGTTCTGAGGTCATGTAGGTTGCCTCCTTCAGACTAGGCCTCTCTTAAGACATTGATTTCTACTGATCCTTGACCAAGAAAATGCCAAAAAATATGGGGAAACTGATGGCCCAGATAAATAAGTATTCTCAGATCGAGGATGAGATGGTGGGGGGTAAAGGGAATACTTTTGCCCCAAAGAAGAAGGAAAATGAGA